TAACTACAATAGAAAAAATGTCATAATATTTTTCCTTCACTTTAATTCAGGTCACACGATTTACGGTTCGTCGTTTGAGAACTTGTTTGATCTACAGACCAGAGCGCACTCAGGCCAATGTCGACTCTAAGCGTTCGGAGACGATTTGATTTATAAGTTTCAACTTTCGAATTCTCAGTTTTAGTTTGGAAACTTTTCAGTTTACTCCTATTTATTTTTCAATTTTTGGATTTTACAATTTCTCAATTTTTCAATTTCTCGGTTTTCAGTTTTTCTCTTCAATTTTACGATTTTTAAATACATATTTAGATTTTTCAATTTTTGACTTTTATAAACTCTTTATTTGTCGATTTTTCAATTGATTTTTCAGGTTTTTTGGTTTTTCAATTTTTCTATTTTTTCAGGTTTCAATATTTCAACTTCACTTTTTTGATTTTTCGATATCTCAATTTTTCCATTCTTTAGATTCTCAGTTTTTGGATATTTCAGTTTTGGGATTTTTCAGAGTTTCGATTCGTCGGTTTTTCTTTCATTTTTCGGTTTTTCGATATTTCAGTTTTGGGATTTTTTAATATTTCTGTTTTTCGACTTTTCCATTGACTTTTGGATTTTTCGATGTGTCGACTTTTTACTTTCTCGATTTTTAAATTTTACATTTCTGAATTTTTTTGTATTTGAATTTTTCAATATTTAAAATTTTTAGATTTTTCGATTTCTCGATTTTTCATTTCAGCTCTTCCATATTTCAATTTTTCAAATGTTTGGATTTCTTAATCTTTCGATTTTTCGCCTTCCCGATTTTAGATTTTCTATTTTTCAATTGTTGTGTTTTCAATTTTTCGATCTTTAAATTTTAGATTTTTCAGTTTTTTGATATTTTAATTTTTCGATATTTAAAATTTTAGATTTTTCGATTTCTCGATTTTTTATTTCAGTTCTTCGATATTTCAGTTTTTCAAGTTTTCGAGGTTTCCAAAAGTTTTGATTTCTTAATAAATCGATTTTTCGTCTTCCCGGTTTTAGATTTTCTGTTTTTCGATTGTCGTTTTTTCAAATTTTCGATTTTTCAATTTTTCGATTTTTCAATTAAACGATGTTTTGATTTTCCCATTTCTTGACTTTCGAGGGTTTCGATATTCCTGTTCTTCAAGTCTTTAATTTTTCGATTTTTCATTTTTTAGTTTTTTTAAGGTTTCGAATTTCGACTCCACTTTTTGGATTTTTCGATTGTTCAATTTTTCGACTTTTTAGGTTCTCAGTTTTTGGATATTTCAGTTTTCGGATTTTTCAGGTTTCCCATTTTTCAGTTTTTCTTTCATTTTTCAGTTTTTCAATATTTCAGTTTTGGGATTTTCGATTTTTCCACTTTTCGATTTTTGACTCCTAGATTTTTCGATGTGTCTATTTTTTTACTTTTTCGATCTTTATGTTTTTTCAATTTTGAAATTTTAGATTTTTTAATTTTTAAAATTTTAGATTTTTCGATTTCTCGATTTTTCAGTTCGGTTCTTCGATATTTGAATTTTTCAAGTTTTCGAATTTTTCAAATGTTTCGATTTCTTAATCTTTCGATTTTTCGCCTTCCCGGTTTTAGATTTTCTGTTTTTTAATTGTCGTTTTTTCAATTTTTCGATTTTTAAATTTTAGATTTTTCAGTTTTTTGATATTTTAATTTTTCAACATTTAAAATTTTAGATTTTTCGATTTCTCGATTTTTCATTTCAGTTAATAATAATAATAATAATAATAATAATGTTTATTAACGGATATACCTTTACATAGAATTATAAACATACAATTACTTATAAATAAGCAAATATTAAAAAGATATTTCAGTTTTTCAAGTTTTCGAATTTTTCAAAAGTTTGATTTCTTAATCAATCGATTTTTCGACTTCCCGGTTTTAGATTTTCTGTTTTTCGACTGTCGTTTTTTCAAATTTTCAATTTTTAAAATTTGTCATTTATAAACTGTCAATTTTATGATTTTTCAATTAATCGATGTTTTGATTTTCCCATTTCTTACTTTCGAGGGTTTCGATATTCCTGTTCTTCAATTCTTTAATTTTTCGATTTTTCAGGTTTTTGATTTTTTGGTTTTTAAAGTTTCAATTTTTCGACTTCACTTTTTGGATTTTTCGATTGCTCAATTTTTCGACTTTTTAGGTTCTCAGTTTTTGGATATTTCAATTTACGAATTTTTCAGGTTTTCCATTTTTCAGTTTTTCTTTCATTTTTCAGTTATTCGATTATCTCAGTTTTGGAATTTTTCAATATTTCGATTCTTCGACTTTTCGATTTTTGACTACTGGATTTTTTGATCTGTCGATTATTTTACTTTTTCGATTTTTCAATTTGTTGATATTTTAATTTTTCAATATTTTTTAATCTTTCGATTTTTCGACTTCCTGGTTTTAGATGTTCTGTTTTTTATTTTGGCCCATTTCGGGTTCTCAGTTTTTCCATTTTTTCGTTTTTTGATTTTTCCGCTTTTCCAATTTTTCAACTTTTAATTTTTTCAAATTTTAAATTGTTTTTTCAATTACCGAAGTTTTGAGTTTCTCAAGTTTTAAGATTACAATTTTTAAATTTTTCGGTGTGTCAAGTTTCGTTTTTTCTATTTTTGATTTTAAATTTTGCAATTGTTCGACTTTTCTGTTTTATAAATTTTCAGTTTTTTCATTTTTAAGGTTACAATTTTTCCTTTTCCAATTGTTGACCTCTTAATTATTCGATTTTGAGTTTCTTCATTTTTGCAGTTCTTCGATTTCTCAATTTTTAAATTTTTCAATGTTTCTTTTTCGATTTTTTAAAATTTCACTTTTAATAAGTTTGTTCTTTTGTTGAAAAATTAAAAAATTAAAAATTAAAAATAAAGTACTTCCAAATATGTAATTCCACGTTGTTTCGTTTCTTCGATTTTTTATTTTCTCAATTCGAGGTTTTTGAATTTTTGTTTTTACATTTTTCGATTTCTCGATTTTTTAGTTTTTCGATTTTCATTATGATTTTTATTTTTCAGTAAAATTTTTGTATGTTTCGATTTTTTAATTTGCAGATATTTTGATTTTTCGATTTTCCATCTTTTAACAATTTTTCGTTTTTCCGATTTTTCAATTTCTCAATTTTTAATTTATAACTTTTTCAGGTTTCAATGTTGCAAATTTTCGATTTTACGTTTTTATTTTTTTTTTCAAATTTACAATTTTGTAATTGTTTCATTTTTAAATTTCCCGATTTTTAATTTTTCACTTTTTTCAAATAATTATTAGGATTTTTTAGTTTTCCGGTTTTAATTTTAAAATTTTAGGATTATGAAATTCATTTTTTTTCCGCTTTTCCAATTTTTCAACGTTTAACTTTTTATTTGTCGATTTTTCTATTTTTCAATTTTTCGAATTTTTAAGTTTTTTGATTTCTCAATTTATAAATTGTTCAATATTTAACTTTCCGATTTTCGACTCCACGATTTCTTGATGTTTTGATTTTTCGATTTCTCGGTTTTTTCGATTTTCCAGTTTTTCGATGTTTTGACTTTTCCGCTTTTCCAATTTTTCAACTTATAACTTTTTGTTTGTCGATTTCTCTGTTTTTCGATTTCATCACTTTTCGATTTCTCGTTCTTTTGATGTTTCAATATCTCAAAATTTCAAATTTTTAAGTTTTTTGTTTTCTCGATTTATCGATATTTTGATTGTCAATTTCTCAATTTATAAATTGTTCAATTTTTAACTTTTCGATTTTTCAGGTTTTTGATTTTTTGATTTTTAAGGTTTCAATTTTTCGACTTCAATTTTTGGAGTTTTCGATTGCTCAATTTTTCGACTTTTTAGGTTCTCAGTTTTTGGATATTTCAGTTTTCGGATTTTTCAATACATATTTTGATTCTTCGATTTTTCGATTTTTGACTTCTGGAGTTTTCGATGTGTCGATTTTTTTATTTTTTCGATTTTTGGACCTCCCGGTTTTAGATTTTCTGTTTTTCAATTGTCATTTTGCCAAATTTTCGATTTTTTAATTTTTCAAATTTGACTTTTATAAACTCTCAATTTTTCGATTTTTCAATTAATCGATGTTTTGATTTTCCCAGTTCTTGATCTTCGAGTGTTTAGATTTTCATGTTCTTCAATTCTTTATTTTTTTATTTTTCAGGTTTTTGATTTTTCAATTTTTCGATTTTGTAAGGTTTTTATTTTTCGACTTCACTTTTTTGATTTTTCGATATTTCAGTTTTAGGATTTTTCAATATTTCAATTCTTCGGCTTTTGTATTTTTGACTTCTTGATTTTTCGATGTGTCTACGTTTTTACTTTTTCGATTTTTCAATTTTTGGTTTTTTAAATTTTAGATTTTTCAATATTTCTTAATCTTTCGATTTTTCGACTTCCTGGTTTTAGATGCTCTGTTTTCCAATATTTCGATTTGTTAATTTTTCATTCCCGATTTATCGAGATTTGATTGTTTAGGTTTTCGATTTATCAGTTTTTCAATTTTTTATTTTGGCCTATTTCGGTTTCTCAGTTTTTCCAGTTTTCCATTTTTTCGTTTTTTGATTTTTCCGTTTTTCCAATTTTTCAGCTTTTAACTTTTTGTTTGTCGATTTCTCTATTTTTCGATTTTTCGACTTCATCACTTTTCGATTTCTCGTTCTTTTGATCTTTCAATGTCTCAATTGTTCAATTTTTCAAATTTTTAAGCTTTTTGATTTCTCGACTTATCGAGATTTGCATTTTTCAATTATTATATTTCTCGATTTTTCGATTATTTTAATTGTTCATTTTTTTCTCAGTGTTAACATCATACAGTCTATCAAAAACAACCACAAAAGTGGTCACTAAAAACAAAAAAAAAATTCATACAAAATAAAACAGTGTTTCCAAAACGTTTTCCCGAAAAAAATCCATTGGGTTATTACGATTTCAACAATATTCTTAGTTTAACTTTTTTTATTGGCATCGACTATTTAAATTTGGCGCTTGTCTTTGACAATTGAGGACTCCAATGTCAATAAAGGTGATTTCGCAAAATCAGCGTGTATGTCGCATCTACATGAATCTATGACTACACCACGAACACACAAAAAGAACAAAATCCGTCATGACTCCAATCTAGGGACTTTTGTCGCCGACACGTTTTTTTGACAGGTTCAACCGGTGGCGGCACGCGGGTCTCCGCGAAAAGTACCCCCTCTTTATCGAATCAGGTGAGTCAAATCGAACCACGCACCTCCAAAACCACCCCGAATACTCAAAACCACCCCTTTCGCAGACCCCAACACCATGAAACGCGTTCGCTGCACGATCTGCCGGCACCAGTTACCAAACCTAAAAACACTAAAATCCCACTATGTCACCAGACATTCGAAAATTCAAATAATCAAGGAACTCTTCAAAAGCAGCATTTTGAGCGCCACTCCGGCCCTTCTGGCGAAGTCCATCAGACGCAAAATCCAGCAAAAGTACAAAACGGTGTATCTGCACGACAAGGTGCAAATTACTTACAGTAATGATACAATAATCATTGAAGATGGGAGCTCCGATGATAACTTGATTGAATTGACGTTCGACGACAACCAAAACCTAACTATTCCGGTTTTAGAACAAGGAAGTGCTAAAGACAAAGCGGGACAAAGCAGACGCAAATCCCGTAAGAATAAAAAGAGTAAGAAGCTTTTCCGGATTGGTATCAAGAAAGTGACTGAAGTCCCTAAATCGTTGCACGAACAAACGGGGGAGTTTTACGAGTGTCACTGTATGGAGAAGGGTTCGCAGAAGACGTCGTCGGATACTGAGTCAGGGTCTGATTCAGGAAGAATTTTCTATTGTAATTTTTGCGGTAATGGGTATCAAACTGTGGCTGAACTGACCCAGCACGAGAATATGCACCAGTACTACTGTAAATTGTGTAACCTCATTTTCAATATTCCGAACCACAGGGAGCACATGGATCAACACATTGTGAGGATTTATGTCTGCCACTTGTGTGGGTTCGAGTTTATTTGCAAAGACATGTTGATCGGGCACTTGGGGTACCATTTTGAGCAGCAGACGTTCGAACACATTTTAAACATGGAGCAGGATTATAACATGTATGGGTTTTGCAATACGAATTTCGCGTCAGGCGATTATTATTCCAATATTACTAATATTTTATTTTTCTTGACGTATCCATATGATCATTATTACAGTCGGAACATGTTCATGAAAGTCGTTTGTGATATTTGTTACCAGGAGTTTTATATTTATGACTACGAAAGACACATGAAAATTGCCCATTTCGTGCGCTGATTTGGTTTTGTAAATTCGGTGTAGGTATTATTATTATTATTTAACCAAAGATGATCTCAGAATATTTTTAAGTTTAAGAATGTTATTTTTTATTTGTTGTTTTGAATGATTGGAGTTTCGTTTTTGTTGGTAAAGTTTTTATGTACCACGATTTTAATTACTTTAGTGTATTGTTGGTTGCATAATAAAATTCAAGTTTTCGTTTTAAAGATAATCCCTGGTCAAAGCGTACTAAGTAATTTACGACCAGGCAATGGATGAAATCCTAAATCGTAATCCCGGTACCTGACTACCATCATGTACCATTGTCCCTTTCAAAAACCCACTCCATGGATTTGGTGGATTTGGTTACGCATTGCTGCCACCACCTGCGTCGATTCCCCCAAGCCATCTGTCATTTCTTCAAACATGGCCGTGTGTAGCTGAAAGTTGTCGCGTAGTTCCCGAAATCATTGTGGTCGCGAGATTATCCCGAAAATAGTGAAATGAACGGTGACGGGGACAGTGAACCGTGGTTATCGGGATGGGAGCAACAGTGTGCGGACTCCGTGGACGAGCAGCCCGACTTCGAGCAATCCCTACGTGACGAATTCGAGGATTCTCACACGCGAATATGGACTGCCTTCCAGGACTCCGCCGCAGCTATAGCGCAGTTGTATCGCGGTGAGTTGGAGTGGCGCCGGTTCGGGGGGCCCGAGGCGCGCTGCAGCCCGGTGGGCGGATTTTTCCCAACCGACATCTTGTTGACACTCTATTGATCATTGATCAGCTGTTTGACGTAACAGGCCTCGTGGCTTTGTCCACTTTGGGGCCAGGTTGGAGACGCGATCGCGGCGAAAGTGGGCTCTGGGGGTTGTTTGGTACCTGGATTTGGGGTGGAGAGTTTGGGGCTACCAGGACAAGTGTTTGCGGTTACCAGTGGTTGGTGTACACAAGAACTACAGAAGAGTAAAGAGCTTATCAGAAATGGCACTCTTACGAAAGTGGTTCTTGGCGAAAATCGTGCCATCTATTTATCAAAATCTTGCGACAGTTTGATTAGTCCATCTTCCTTTGACACAGCTGTTGCATTTTCGTTATAGATTTCAAACATTTATATTTATATTTAAAGCAAAAAGGTAAATTCAGCCGTATCCCAAGGCGTTACAAGGGTCGGAATCCATCGCTAAATAATTTAAAACAGATTTATAATCGGCGTTTGATATTTGGGATATAAATAGTTCCACATTAATGCTGCCGATAGACCGTCACACAAAACAATGGAATAAAGTTCAAATTATTTGTATTCCTCGTAATGAACCTGACATTTAGGAAAAAGTTTGTATTTTTCTGGTCCGTCGACAAAACTAATAAAATAAATTGAAAAACACTGAACAATGAAACGATTTGTCGAAAATGTAGTTAAAAATTTTATTACACAAAGTTGTGAGGTCGTAAGTATTTTTTAATGCTAATTTTATTGACCTCGTACTTCTGAAATCGAAAAATATGCGAAAAGATACTACAGGTATGAATAATGCGAGCGCAGCGAGTTTCCTAAACTCACATATTTTTAAAGTTCACTTTCTTTAAATAACAATTCTTTCGTTAGTAATTTAACCTTGATGAGTAATTTTTAACGACACCTTTCTGTGGTCGCATTTTAAATACTTTCCTTTGTTAATTCATCTTCGCAGAAACGTTACCATAAGCATGATAAATTTTTTATCAAAATGTATTTGCTCATCCTCCTTAAATTAAAATTAATGACTGGGTCAATTTATTAATTATATCGTGAAAATTTATAGCGTTCACGGACCAACTTCAATCGTTTCTAAAATTTCCCCAAAATTTAAACTTTGTCGCGTAAACGAATCACGGAATCTGATAAATTAAAACTGAAGTCGTACTTACCCCGTTTTCGGTTTTCGTTCGTGTTCACAGTACCAACACAACACATTTTCACTAATATTTATTAATAATAAATTAGAAATTCGCGAAAATAAGCCAAACGGGAGCTCCGATGTTGCTGCGATCAGACCGAAATCTAAACAAACACAAGGAGCCGGAAAATGTGACCTTTGCTCAGGTGGCCAACGTGAGAGGATGTCATGGTACAATCGCACGCAAATGTTTTGAGCCTATGGGCGGATCGTTTTTGCCTGCCCTCACGGAAGAAGGCGGTCCGAATCCTTCAAGGGCAGAATTTGTAGGTAGGCTCAAACTACAACGAAATTCACATTTTAACGCGACGGACACTAGTTATATATACACCGTGTTGAGTTTTTATCCGAAACGTCCAGATTTTTGGAAAAAAATCAAAATTATCAAACAATATTTTGCAATTTAATTTTGAATTTTTAGCAGATGTTTTAAAATCATGATAAACATGATACATTTTTAATTAGAATATATTTGCTTATCCCCTCTAAAAAATTTATGACGTCACCTCAAAATTTTGCAGAATAAATCCTATCTTAAATGTATAAAATATGATGAGTTTTATACTTGTGATTTATCACTGGATTAATATTTTTTAGATTTGGTTATGCAGGGTGTCTCAAAAAAGTTAATGACTGATTCAATTTATTTTATTGAAGAAATCAAGAATAGCAAAACTGAATACTTTGAAAAATTGTAGATGTTTTGAAGTTTTTGTAAGCATGGTAACTTTCGAAAAACTGAAATTCACTAATGCAAAAAACAGAAAATCGAAAAATACAAATCGTAAAAATCGAAAGTCTAAAAATGGCTAATCAAAAAATCGAAAATTCAATGAATCAAATACCTAGGTCGATCGAAAAGTGGAAATTCACAAACCTCAAAAATCGAAAAATCGAAAATTGAAAAACGGGAAAACCAAAAAATCGAAAAGTCAAAAATTTGTAATATTGAAAATTAAAAAAATCAAAAACAAAAATAAAAAAAATCGGAAATTAAAATAATCAAAATCTATAAAGTAAAAAAAATTGCAAAGCCTAAAAACTGAAACGAACAGGAAAATCGAAAAAGCAAAAAATTCGAAAAATCTAAAATCGAAAAAGTGGAAAATCGAAAACCAAAAAATCGGAAAGCAACAAAATTGAAGTCTAACAGTTGAGAATGGAAAAATTGAAAAACCGAAAATTCTATAAATCGACAATGGACAAATTGAAAATCGCAAAATTTAAATTGAAAAATTGAACATAGAAAAATTGAACATAGAAAAATCGATGAATTGAAAAATCTAAAATTTGAGTAGTCGAATTTCCGATTTTTCAATTCATCGATTTTTCTATGTTCAATTTTTCAATTTAAGATTTTCTAAAAATCGAAAAATCATAAAACTGAAAAATCCAAAATTCTAATCATCGAAAGTCTGAAAACTGAAAATCGAAAATTCTGAAAAGCGGAAAATAGAATATAGAAAAATTTAAAAGAAAGAAAATTGAAGTCTAAAAACCGAAGAATGGAAAAATTAAAAATCAAAAATTCGAAAAATCAAAACCGAAAAATTCAAAGATTTAAAAAGAAAATCGAAAAATCAAAAATCTGAAAATTGAAACTCGAAAATTTGGAAAATCGAAAAGTAAAAAAATTTAAGTCTAAAAGCTGAAATTGGAAAACTGAACAATCGAAAATTCGAAAATCAAATATCGAAAAATCGAAAAGCCGAAAAATCGAAAACTTGATAAATCAGATATGCGAAAAACAGAAAATCTGAAAATACAAAACTGGAAAATCAAAAACCTAAAAATGGAAAAACCGAAAATCGAAAATTCAATGAATCTAATACGTAGGTCGATCGAAAAACTGGAAATTCACAAATCTGAAAAATCGAAAATTTGCAAGATTGAAAAACCGAGAATTGAAAAATCAAAAAACCGAAAAATGGAAAAATCAAGAATCGAAAAATAGGAAAATCGAAAATTCGAAAATTCATAATATTGAAAACTCTAAAAGTCGACAATTCAAAAATCAAAAAACTGGAAAAAAATAATCGAAAAATCGAAAAGTAAACAAGTTGCAAAGCCTAAAAACTGACGAACAGAAAAATCGAAAAATCGTAAAATCAAAAAGTGGAAAATCGAAAACTGGAAATTGAAAAATCGAAGATTGGAAAATCGAAAAATCGAAAAATTAAAAAATCGGAAATCGAAAAATGAAAAAAAAACGAAAATTCAAAAAAAAACGAAAATTCAAAAATCGAATAATCCGAAACTAAAATAATAGAAAAGTGGAAAATCGAAAAATCGAAAATCGGAAAATGGAAAAACCGAAAAATCGAAAATCGAAAACTCGAAAATTCGATGAAACAAATACTCGAAAAAGCAAAAAGTAAAAAAATTGCAAGGCCTAAAAATTGAAAAATCAAAAAATCGAAAAAACGACGATCGAAAAAAATCAAAAAATCGAAAAGTGGAAAATCGGAAAGTAACAAAATTGAAATCTAAAAGCTGTACGTCACGATGAGATTGCAAAAATTATTTTTCATATTTCGGCCGGGAAATTGAACATTTTCGGGGTTAATTTAATAATATTTAAACAAATCGCTTTGTTTTTAATACTATCGTGTTTTTAGTAAAACCTATAGCCCCTAGAAATACATAGTACCGTCATCCATTGTTGTACGAGTGGAGCAAATGCAGTTGGTAATGCAAAAAATTCCCCGGGTTTGGAACCAAATTGTGTCAGCAGCGAGTTGACAGCGCGTAAACTGTTGTTGTCACGTGGTCTTGGCTTGATGTTTTTGTTTAAAGTCAATTAATATAACTAACAATTATTAACTAAGATTTTTTTGATTAAATTTTATATTTTATTCGAATTAAAAATCCACATTTTGTATATAAACTACAAACTTTAAATCCAACATAAAACCATTTAAAATTTCGCGGTCTGTCAAATGGTGTTAATAATTTTTGTTTTTGTTAAGTTTCCGCCAGGTTTGCTCCACGGTGACGATACTATGTATTTTCTAGGGGCTATAGTAAAACCGTTTTGGGTTTGATTATCATATATTAATAGTTACTTCCCATATTTGAACATTATAAATAATATTAATTATGTGTAAATTTTATTTAATTATATCGTGAAAATGTATAGCTTTGACCGATCAACCTCAACCGTTTCGAATTTTTTTCCAAAATTTAAACATTGTCGAGTAAACGAATCCCGGGTGTCTCGATTTCTCGTTTTTTCAGTTCTTCGTTATTTCCATATCTCAGTTTTTCGAATTTTTAACTTTTAGATTTTTCAGGTTTGATGTTTCGATTTTTCGATTTATCTATCGATTTTTTTAAGTTTTAAATTATTCAATTCGTCAATTTTTAATTTTTCGATTTTGGGCTACATTTTCTGTTCAACTTTTCTTTCTTTTCTTATTTTTTGAGGTATCCGATTTGAAATTTTTCGTTCAGTTCTTAATTTTTTCATTTTTCGATTAAAATTTCTGCAGTTTTCAATTTTTAATTTTTCGGTTCTTTATTTTTACAATTTTTAGATTTTTCAATGTTCCGGTTCTATAATTTTTGGTTTTAGTAATTTCAACTTTGTCAATTTTTCGTTTTATTTGTTTCTTCAATTCTACGATATGCAACGCTTCGAGTTTCCAAAATCAAAAAATTGAAACATCCAAAAGCTGGAAAATCCAAAAACTGAAAAATTTTAAAATCGAAAAACTGCAAGAACGAAAAATTGAATTATTA